TCCTAAAGAAATAGTCGACATAACTAAGATGCTCAAGCCAGAGTTAGGGTAATCATAATCATGCAACGAATATCATGTAATATTATAATCCAGTTATCAATACTATCCTATGTTCTCAGCACTGAGCAAAATGGAGGATAAGCTAAATAAAATCTGCAGGCAAACTTTCAAAAGAAAATGGAAAAACTGAACCTTTCAGCAAGTACAGCAGAACCCTCTTCAAACAACTCTTCCACAACTCCAATTGCAGAAAGCTTATTAGCCGCTTTCCTTGTAGAATTCTGATATTTCTTCCCAAAAAGAAGTGAACTGAGAACATTCTTTTTCTTCATTGGCGTAAGAGGTAAGACGGGATTTTCAGAGGGGATAATATCAACAACCAAGCAGGTTGTATCATCCTTCAGTCCTCTTGACCTTAAAGCTTCCTGGAGAGTGGAGTATACAAATATTAGTTAAGAGAAACAAAGTACCCGAGACAAATATATTGCAGTAGAGTTGTAAAGGGAGAGGTCATGCTGGACACCACCTTAACAACAAGCCTTGCAGCAAGCTCAGCCGGTAAACCTCGACATGATTTGGCTGCCATATCAGAAGATAACGCATCCCAGACACCATCAGAGGCAATAATGAGTCTTCCTCCAGCATCTGAAAGCTAAATAAAACAGAAAAAGAGTTTTGAACATCGAAACGAATCAATAGAAGAAAAAAATTAAAATCATTTACTGATGGAGTAGAACCCACCTTCACTTGCTTAACATGTGGTATAGGGACAATGAATTCTCCCACATCTGTGTCACCAATTGACCTTGAAAGACATAACCCACCTGGCCAGCATCGAAGTGGACCAACCTACAAATCATAAATAGAATTGAACAAATAATGGGAATTTGAGAAATCCAACATTTCGAATCATCTCACTTCACCATGCTTAACTTTTCTGAGTTTCATACCTCATTGCCCCCAAAAATGTTGAGCCTCCCAACTTCACCTCCACTTGCAGTAACACGTTCTCTCTCTTCAACATTCTCTTCTAGTCTATGGTCAACTGTTAGGAGAGAAACCAAACCACCCTGGGTGTCTAAGATGCATCGAGAATCTCCAACTGATGCAACAGTCACAGTCCATCCATCAATGACAACAAATGTCACAGTTGTGCCAGAAGTTTCCCCTGTTATACATAATTAAGTCAGTATGATAAAGCATTACCGAAAATCACAAAGCATATATTTGACAAAGATATAAGTAGATGAGATAAAACAGAAAATGTGCATGCCTTTCTGCTGAAATTCTATATCGGTCTTCACAAAACCTGCAACCAATGCTCTAGGAAGGGCCTGAAGCCAGAGTTCCCTGCTGATACCTTGAGGAATTGCACTCAAGACATTAGCCAATAAGTGCTCTTTTGCAAAGACGGCAGCTGATATACCATTGTGCCCATCAAAAATCTGCTGATAAAGCTCATAGTAAGAATCTCTTGACCATTGTTATCAATATCGAGTTTACATATATATTCCACTTGATTGTTAATAAATAAATAAAAAAAAAGAGCTATCAGATATTAGTTCTTTCTTTACACAAGGGGCCCACAAAAAATCAAAACCTTTAGTCCCCATAAGTGAATTCGCCAAGCAGAACTCTTGTGACAATTGAAAAACTAACTGTGCTTCTTTTTTTTTTATTTCCTGTCTTGGCTAACAAACAAGCCTTTAACTTATTGATCTGGTGAAGAAAGAAATTTCATTGAAAAAGAAAGTACCGCAAATACTGAAAAAGTTGTTGATGGATTCCCAGGAATCCTCTGGCAATCAGGTTTGATCAGAAAGTAATCCTCTCCTTTCTTTGCCAACGCAGCCTGCCCATACTTTACAAAAGGTTTCTCAACCTTCTCATTCCTCACCTCACGACCAATCAAGGTCGCAAGGGGAACAAGAGGAGACTTAACCCTTGATACTTCAGGCTGGCTCATGTTAGTCTATGATTCAACATTTGCAAGAGGCCACGGGCAACCCTGATAATCCCAATCAATATCTTAAATAACTGTTTACAAAAGAATATATGTACGCTAACACATTCATTAAATAAATTACAATCCACAAAGAAACTTAAAATGTCGAAGCAACCAACAAATATTTCAAAACTAACCATTCAAAGTACTAATGCAATATCCCAACACCTCCAAGGCATTTGAAAACGAGAAACCGCTGTGAGTTTATTAGCTTAATTCAATATAGGCGTGTTGATTCATAGACATATTTGTAACTCTATAATTCTCATCATACACTTTCAACTCATATATAAAATTCGGTGTAAGACTTTTTATTATACAGTTAGAGACACAAAAGTAAAATCCATGAACATCTGCAGGAAAAAAAAAAAAGAAAAGAAGAGAAAAAGTATGAAAGTTTGCAAACCAGTGCTCAAGCTAACAACCAGTTTCACAAAAGAATAAAAACCCAAATCCAACATAACCGTGCCATCTAAAATAATTTTCCTCAACAAATTAAGCCAATTCAAGCCAAAACATTCACCTAAAAATCTTCTCTAGATTATCCAAATTCCCACTATATAAATCCATTATTAGAAAAAATCAACACAAGCAGCAAACAGAATCTAATAAATCAAGTTATCAGAGATATCAAACATAAATCTAGAAAGGTCCTCCGTCTACCTCAAACTGTATAAATCTATAAGCAAATTCCCACCAGGTGATCTTCCTCAGTTTCCACATTAAAAGAAACTGCTATTTTTAACCCGAGAAGAAGTAAAAACACACCACTAGACTGAAATTGACTAAAAATAGCATCTCAAAATCAGCTCAAAAAAGATTGAAACAACAAAAAAAAAAAAAAAAAATTCCGAGTACCCAAAGCTCACAGTTTGAAGCATATAGAGACTGTCAACAGATCGAGCGATGAAGACCGCACATCGATTCTTTCGTCTTGACCTCTGCAACTACCATTTTTCCTGTGCTAGAAATTTGAGGTCGATTTAATTATTATTCAAAAGCCTAAGAGAGGAAAAATGAAGAGCCCACAGACAATTGTGATATTACTGGATGAGGAATCTAGACGGAGAGAGGCGGGTTTTAGGAGGAGAAAAGCATTGATTTTTTCACGAAAGGTTTGTAATGACATTTATGTCCCAGCCTTTGTGGTAGCAGAGGAAGAGGAAAAGCTAAAAGCAGAGACACCTAACAAAATTACCATAAAGTCCTCCGA